TATATTCTAAATAATTATATATATAAATTTTATTATGAAAAAGTTCAAAAATATGCAAAGGTAAAAGGAGTATCATTCAATGAGCACCCATGTACCCTTATCCAGCTCCAAATATTTTGGTTTTGGTACAACCACATTTTACAAATTTGGATCTATTCTGATTTCACTGCATCAGCCTGACTGAACTGATCTGAAGCCCTGATTTTAATACCTACATAGATCTGTGGCTACCAACAACACAACCAAGATACAGAACAGTTTCATCATCTAAAAAAACATCTTATGCTCTCCCTTTATAGTTTATATTCTCCCACATAATACTTAAAAGCAAATTTTAGGAATCACATAATTTCATGTGTATAAAGCTTAACATATACATATATGTACTGCTTCATATCTCTTTGGACAATGTTTGTCTGTCTGTATGACTACATCTGTAATCCTATATATATATATTTTTTTTTTTAAAAGGGAAAGCAGCTCTTCTTTTATGATTTCCTCCTAATGGTTTTAACCATGATTCATCTGCCAGTTTGTGTGTGTTGTCAGATGCTGGAAACTATACCACCAGTATTTTAAATACTGCCAGGATCACGCCTAGTGGATGGGGTTCAGCAGAGTTTCCATGTTAAGACAGATAAGGGGAGGCAACCACTTCTGAATGGTTAGCCACTGAAAACTATGAATACTACTGGAACATTGTTAGATATAGTGCCAAAGGATGAGCCCCTCAGGTTGGAAGCAACACAAAATACTACTGGGGAAGAGCTGCCTCCTCAAAGTAAACTTAACCATAATAACATGGATGGAGTAAAGCGTTCAGGATCTTCATTTGCTGATGTGGCACAATCCAAAAGGAGGAACAGCTGCAAACATTATTAATTAGATCATGAAGTGCACAAAGCATGCACCTAGGAAAACTGAAAGTCTTCAAAAATGAAATGGAACACATAAAGATCAATGTCCGAGGCATCAGTGAGCTGAAATGGATTGCTGTTGGTCATTTTGAATCAGACGATCATATGGTTCACTACGCTAGGAATGACCAATTGAAGAGGAATGGTAATGGTATCACATTCATGGGTAAAAAGAGCATTTCACCATCTATCTTAAAGTATCATGCTGTCTGTGATAGGATAATATCCATAAGCCTGAAAAGAAGACAAATTGATGCCACTATTAATCAAATTTACAAAGCAACTACTAAGGCCAATGATGATGAAATTGAAAACTTTTACCATTTTTTTCAGTCTGTAATTGATCAAACATTCAATCAAGATGCATTGATAATTATCAGTGATTAGAATGCTAAAGTTTGAAACAAAGAAGATGAGAAGTTGGAAAATATGGTCTTGGTAACAGAAATGACAGCCATGTTAGAATTTTGTAAGACCAATGAGTTTCTTCTTCATTACAAATACCTTTTTTAAACAACATATAGGATGAATATATGGTGTGGTCGTGTAGGATAAGCACTGGACTGGTGACTCAAGGTCAAATGTTTAAACCCACCAGCAACGCTAGGAAACCCTATGCATGGTCGCTATGAGTTGGAACCAACTTGATGGCACACAACAGCAATATACATGTGGACTTCACCAGATGGAACACACAGGAATCAAATCAACTACACCTGTGGGAAGAGACAATGGAGAAGTTCAAAATTACCAGCCAAAACAAGGCAAGGGGCAGACAGACAATCAACTGCTTATATGCAAGTTCAGGCTAAAGCTGAAGAAAATTAAAACAAATCTACAAGAACTAAAATATGACCTTGAATATGTCTCACCTGAATTTAGAGACTATCTCAAGAATAGATTTGATGCATTAGACACTAATAACCAAAGACCACAGGAGTTGACAGATGGCATTAAAAACATTATCCATGAAGAAAGGTAAAGGCCATGAGATAGACAGGAAAGAAAGAAAGACCAAAGTTGGTATTAGAAGAGACTCTGAAACTTGCTCTTGAATGTAGAGAAGCTAAAGTGACAGAGAGAAATGAAGTAAAAGAGCTGTACAGAAAATTTCAAAGGGCAACTCGAGAAGACAAAGTATTATAATGAAATTTGCGAAGACCAGGAATTAGAAAATCAAAAGGGAAAACTTATTCAGCATTTTCAAGCTGAAAGAACTGAAGAAAAAATTCAAGCCTCAGGTTACAATACTGAAAAAGATTGTATGGGAAAAATATTGCATAATGCAAGAAGTATCAAAAGAACTTGGAAGCAATTCACAGAATCGCTGCACCAAAAATAATAGGGCAATGTGCAACCATTTCAATAAGTACCATGATTAAGAACTGATGATACTAAGGGAAGAGGTCCAAACCACTGAAGACACTGGTGAAAGACAAAGCTCCAGGAATTGATGGAAAGCAAATTGAAATGCTCCAATAAACTGATGCAGTGCTGGAGGCCCTCAATCATCTATGCCAAGAAATTTGGAATACAGCTGCCTGGCCAACCATACAATGAAGAAACGCACATTTACAAAAACCGTGCAGCACCAACAATTCCTCAAATGACACTCTCCACTCAACTGGGCTCAATAATTTAGTGCAATGGCCATATAGAACTCAAACAACATATTCAAAGTTATGGTATTTACTAGGGAAGTGAACAGATCATAACACAGGATCAGAAAATGCTCAGGGCACAAGCGTTCCAGTCAGATGCTGGTAAATGCCTACAGGACACACTACTCCACCATAAGCCTCAACCTGAAGGCACCTGGCTCTAGCTCCTGGGTCAGGAAGACCAGCTCCACCACTCAAGTGCCTAGAGGCACCTCACTCTACAAGCAAACTTCCTGCACAAAGCCACTCAGTTCTACTTGCTTAGTGGGCTGGGAAGTTTACTGCTCTGTCTCATGCTATGGATCCTGGTTCTGCTATTGTTGCTTCTCTGCCACTATTCCTCTGATATCAAGCTTTCTGTCCCTAACTTGAGGAAGTTCAATGCATCCAAAGGATATGCTCTACCCCTGGCTCTTCTTTTCTGGTAGTAGTGAGATTCCCCCTCCTGCTTCTGAGATGGTCCATTTTATATCCATGACACAATTTCAAGTTTTTACAATTACAATGAACTCTGCTAACATTCATAGCTGAATTGTCATCCTATTTGTCCAGTAGGGCAAAAACATTTTTTTTTTTTTTTGGTGGGAGTTAGAGTGTCTAGAAGAGACCCATAATGGACTGCACCACACTATATGAACACATTGCAAACAAAGATGACCCAATGGACTATGGAATCATTGAACAAAATCATTAACATCTCATGTAATCAAAATTTTGCTGAAGATAATCAAAAAACCATTGCAGCACTATAATGACAAGGAGCTGCCAGAAATTCAAGCAGAATTCAGAAGAGATATGGAACTAATGATATCAGTGCTGAAGCCAGATGGATCTTGGCTGAAAGGAGACAATGCCAGAAAGATGCTTACTTGTGCTTTATTGGCTATGCAAAGGCATTTGACTGTGTGGATAATAACTATGGTTAACAACGTTTAGAATGGGTATTACAGAACCCTTAATTATGCTCATGAGGAGCCTGTACATAGACCAAGAGGCAGCTATTAGAACATAACAAGGAAATACAAAGTCAGGAAAGGGGTGTTCTTTTTACCATACTTATTCAATCTGTAGGCTGAACAAATAATCCGAGAAGCCAGATTATATGAAGAATGTGGCAATCAGGATTGGAGAAAGACTCATTAACAACTTGCGATATGCAAATAACACAACCTTGCTTGTCAACGCAAAGAGAGTTTG